GCTCAGGGTCCAACCCAAAGCAGCCATGCACGGTCCGGTTAGCACCCAACAGCTTGCGCACTGCACCCTCGGGTTCCTGGTTTCCCATACGCGGTGACAGACCTGGGACCCCCTCACCATGTTTTCCCAGATGCTGCCCCACCTAGTAGGATGGGGGCTGGGAGGGAGGCGGGGTGGCGAGCCCAGCATTTGTTGGGAAACGTCCCAGTGAATGTCATCCACCCCCCACTCCCCACCCCCCAACGACCACCACCAACTGCAGCCGTGGTATTTCAGGCTTTCAGTCGACTGTGTGCTAACCCACAGGATGTGGCAGTGTAATGGCTAAGACCCTAAACTATGTGATTGTAGTCCCTTCTCTCCCCCACCAAGGAAGGCTGCTGGTGTACCTCCAGACAGCACAGCTCTGTACAGACTACAAATTAAACCAATTGGACTCATCTGCCATATTCCACTCCCGTATAGAGTTATGGTCTTGGGCACTCACAGGGGCAGTTCTGCCCTGTCTTCTAGGGTCGCTAGGAGTTGGCATCAACTCAGTGGCAAGGAGTGAGTGAGTGACCCTGTCCCGATATGTACTTGGGGGTTGTAACAGGTTTGGGCCCATCTCAACCTCAAGGTCGGCAGTTTGAACCCACCCGATGGCACTACGGAAGAAGGACCAGGCAACCCGCTTCTGTAAAGATGACCCCCAAGACAATCCCGCAGAGCAGCTCCACTGTGGGACACACGGGCCTCCCAGACGTAGGAGTCCACGAGATGGCAAAGAGCTTTTGGTCTTCGAGTACGAATCTCCACCCCAAAGCACATCCTCGCCCTGGCGCCCTTCCCACTCACAGCTCACCTGTAGGACAGAGTAGACCAGCCCATGGGGTTTCGGAGGTTGTAGTCTTTCTAGAAGCAGACAGCCTCTTCTTTCTCCCACCGAGTGGTTGGTGCTTTCAAACCACTGGCCTTGTGGTGAGCAGCCCAATGCATAACACCCCCTCCCCCCCAGGGCCCCTCTCAGCTCCAGGCTGGATGCTGCAAACACGAACGAGACACAGAAGACATGGCTCGGAGGGGCTGACGCTGGGGTCCAACGAGCTGAGTGCTAGATTGGGTATCACCTCAAAGGCTGACGACAGTGGTTTGCAAGATCTTTTTCAGAGAAGAGGTTTATGGAGCTCCTGCGGATTGTTTAATCGTGAACAGTCCCCCATTGCTAGGTCAGGAGAAGTGAAACTCACGTTGATGAAGGAAATGAGTGACGGGCATGCAGTTTGCTCCTTGTGACCTTGTAGATCGTGTCTCTGTGTTAGGTGCAATCCTTAACCCAAACCAGAGCCAGCACATCGAGTGAGTGCCGACTCATAGAGACCCTGTAGGACAGGCTAGAACTGCCCTGTGAACTGTTTACAGGAGGAGAGAGGCCTGTCTTGGACC